GTGAATTGAAAATGCAACTGCGGTCTGTGTTTTCCGCATGCTGCTTTCATTTCACTTTATTTTAATCTGGAAATACCCATGCTTATGTGTGGTAATTACTATTACAGACTCCGGTTATTTCACTGCTTACTCTCTTGAGCTTTAAACCTCTCCTGGTTCTTCCAAAAGGGGTGCCAAATATAGAAAGTTTAAACAAACAAGCAAACAAAAAACCCAGAGTATTCTCCTTATTTGTTTTTGAGTGTCACAGGTGTACCGGATTGTAACAAATTTTTAAGGAGTTTGTAACACATCTAAAAAAAATCTGGAGGTAAAATATAAAAGACGCCTCCTTTGAGAGCTTTACACAAAGAAACCTTATCATTGAAGACACTAGGACTCTGAAGACTTTGTCCTATTCTGTAGAATTTAAGTCTAATTTCAAGTTAAAGATTCAATTTGCCACTATTTTCTTCAAAGAGGAACCTTGCAAGCTGTCGAGATAGTCAAATGGAAAATTGGAAAGGAAGAACACAGGCCCCGGGGGAGGCAGAGCAGAAAGGGAGTGGTGCTTTGAAAAAAAAAACCTGCTGAAAGGTTATTACCGTTATTACCTACCTTTCGCTCCCAAGTTTGATTCTGGCTGCTGCATAACACTTTTAAACCCTGGCTAAGTAAATATGCAGCCACTTAAGGAGGGGGGAAAAAAACCCAACAACTTTTTGCATGATGAATAATGGTCTTTTGAATGATGCATAAACAGTTTTCTGGTTCTGCCAGAGCCCTCTGCCAATTAGTCAGAGTGCAGCTGATGAATCATGAGACACATTCTGTGAAACGTTCAAAAATGTGGACCCTGCTAAGTGTTCCTGAGAGCCAGCGAGACCCCCCACAGCTGCTAAAACAGTGGTTGCCAGCCAGTTGAGTTCTGGTATTTTTGCCGTGGAGTACTTTTTGGTGAATTTTAGTTTTCATTTGGGGTAAATTCATGTTACCATTTGTAATCTCGGATTGGATTGGTATAGCCCTTGCCTTTATACTAAATACACAGGGAGGTTGACTTTTGATAGCTTTGTGCAGAAAATGGCTTTCTGCTCTCTAATGAGGTGGCTTGAGGTAAATGGCACTTATAATTTTTCTTCTATAATACTCTGAAGATCCTTACTCTCTTCTTAATGTTTCTTTTTTGAAATACCAGACTAGGAGATCTCTTTTTTTAAGTAGAGTTTAGATTCTGGGTCACAAGAAACAACAACTGGATTCAAGCAATGGCTTGCTGAGCTGCTACAGGCAGCCTAATGCAGCCTTGAGTTCAATATATGAGATGGCTGCATTTCAAAGTGGCACGATCTGACTCATTGCTGGTAAACTCTAGACCGTGGCTGAAAATAGTAGATGTTTTTTGATAGCAAGGTAAAACAGAAATCTGGAAATTGGCTTTACTCAAAATTTTGTCTGAAACTGTAGCCGTGCTTCAGATGAACAACACAAAGGATTTTCATATTTTTCATTTTTATCCTCCACTGTACCTGAAACTGTGACCTAAAAGCAACAAAGAAAAATGTGTTTGAGTATGGAAAAATGTACTCGATCCAACAACTCCTGAATTTCTATAGTTAGATCATAAGCAAAGATGCTTTAATCAGAACCAGGGATGAGGAACTGTTTTGGGAAGGGTGTTAGCTTTGTATTAGCTGTAAATGTGAAAGATGCTATATTGAAGTTCCTGCTGTCAATGGAGTTTTCTGACAGTGAGACCATGAAAGCAGCACCACGTCCTGTGGTGGATCCTGCTACTTCTTAAAAGAGCTGAGAGAACTGCGCTGCACAGAGCCATTAAGGTCAGCATAGTCACAGCAATTTCCGTAGCCACTGAGGTTTCCGACAAACCAGTAGGCTCAGACTAAGTATAACGTAAAAGTTTGCAAGTTCACAAAGCTCTGGCCTAGATACTCAATCTACTGAAGCATTGTAGTCTTGATGACCCTTCCGCTAGTGACAGATCATTGATGTCATTCTGTTTTCATCAATTAATAGATTTTATTTAGGGGGTGTTGATTTTGTTTAATTGCGTAGCAAAGAAAATGAAACTTTGGTCCTCAAATCAAGCAGGCAGATACTTAATAGACACTAACATGTAAGTAAAACATGGCCTAGAGCGGTAACCTTGAAATATGCAGACACGATGCTAGTAAACGGTGCTTTCCTAATAACTGTTCTAAACAATTAGGATATTGTAGATAGTACGGCACACATCTCTGCCATTTTCAGTGAAAATGTTTCTAAAAGCTATCATTCAGACCTAAGCATTGAGTCCTCAGTAGTGCAGTACCAGTTGCTGCATTCGGTAAGCAGTACTAGTAACTGCTGGTAAAACAAAGTATTCCTTGGCAGTCTCCTCGCATTTCCTCAAGGATGCTTTCCCACAGGATGCCCATAGGCAGAGCTCTAGGTTGTTGTCAGCAAGAGCGCTGTGCACCTGGGCTGTGACCCCTGTAGTTACACATCTTTGTAAAATACAAGGCTGCCATATACTACATTTTTGAGAGCAGTAACCCATGTTTTTACCACCCTAGCACCAATGTAGTTATTTTCCAAATGCTCTAAAAACTACGCAGTAGATGACGTCTGTCATTAGGTTTTACATTTTTTTAAAATCTGCTTTTCATAATCCACCTCCAGTAGTAATTCAATTTTCAACCCTCCATGTTCTCCTGCAAACACGGAGAACAACTAAAATGTTCGTTTATGCTGTTTGAGTACGAATCCTGAGTGACATCAAACATTGTTTTAGGACATGCTGGCATCCCTGTGTCTCCTGGGTCACTCCCCATTTTTTGTAACATCACATTTATAACTTCTCTTACTCTAGGAACATGTGATTATAGAATTCTTTTAATCAACCCCTTTTATTCATCTCTTCTTCCAGCTAGCATTAATATAGTTCAAGGATGTTCATTCCACCTTTTGGTTAATTTTGGAGTTACAAATTAGAACCTTATGACAAACCTTGGCTTCCCCCCCCCCCCCCCCCCCCCCCCCCCCCCCCCCCCCCCCCCCCCCCCCCCCCCCCCCCCCCCCCCCCCCCCCCCCCCCCCCCCCCCCCCCCCCCCCCCCCCCCCCCCCCCCCCCCCCCCCCCCCCCCCCCCCCCCCCCCCGCCGTGTTCTTTCCCTGTACTGCCTACTGTTTGCTAAGGCTTTTGTTTGCAGATGCCTTTGGATGTCTGCCAGAATAGAAGCAACATACTGAGATACATGGTGAAACCTCAACTGGAAGAATATCTGGATTTTTTTTGTGTTAATTTGTGTTGCGAGATCCCCAGTTCTGACAGACTGCTTATAAATATTGTATATTTTCAGCTGGCACTTCCTGAGATGTATACATAGGAAATGTTTAATTGCCCACAAAATATGGGTAATAAGAGCTAGCAGATCTGTCATTGAACTTGCCCCATCCTGCACTCCACATACTGCTGATTTTTTTTTCCTCCCACATATTCACTCAATGAACAAGTTGCATAGCTGAGAGCCAGTCACAGTTCAGATTGGATTGAAACTCATAAATGTGCTACTCCACAGAAATCTTTAATAAAAGGCAAAACATTTATAAGATCTGAAGAGAAGCCTGGGCGGTCTGGCCATCTGCAGCACCAACACGTTACATGGCAGAATTTCATTATGTTAATGGGAAGGCAGTTTGACCAGAAGCCTTCCGCGGCACCAGAGCCTTATTCTGGCAAAACTCCCTCACTCTTTTCAACCAGGATTGATTCTAGAGGTGCTCATTGCACACTAGGTATCCTGTGATCAGAAGAAGATTGAGCAGTGACTTGCTGGGTGACATCCATGGAATCAGGAGTATGTTTTCTGTAGTCTCAAAGGAGCTGGCTTCTCATTTCAATTTTGTTGCACTACAGCTGGCCTTCTAAATCACCTCTTTTCTTAGTCATCAGCCTCTCCCTTAGGAGAACTCTCCTGATTTTATCAAGTCCAAACTTGGTCCAACAGCAATGTGAACACTGAGGCACGTAATGGCCTCGTTGTATAATCTGTATGTACAGCACGTGACATAGTCGTAGTCTTTACAAAGACACTTTGCCGTGGGGTAGTAGTGATGCATCATACAAGGAACTGGCACTTCAGTTTCACGGGCAGTTAATGCAAGAAAAGACTTGATGACTAATAGCAAAGTTGCTGAACTAATATCCTTCAGAGTTTTTTAGATGTCTACTCTATCTGCCTATCTGAAAAGTTGATTTGAAAGAACTATGAAATGCTAAAGAAAAGATATTTGAAATATTTTTTCCACTGAAATCATGTTGCCTAGTATTATAAATTCTAATCTTGATAAGCCCACTGAATTAAGCAATCCACAGAAAAATAAATTTATTCCCATGTAAAATACAGAAATATTATCTTAATAGAAAAACATTTGTGCATTCTTAGTTTTCTGGCATTATTACCTAAAGATTGATTTGGGTTTAGTATAGGGAATTTCTACAGCAGGTCATAATCCATCTTAATTTCATTAATAGGAAATTATACTAAAATTCATTTCTCACTGAAAATTAAAAAAAGCCCGCACACATCAAAGCATTGTTGTCTGTTTGGTTAGCCCCTGCAGCTAGTGAAGTGTCCTTGGATTATTTTATATGGGGGATAGACTAATCTGTGATGATGAATATCTAGTTGCCCTCGAGATCTAAGTGAACTGAATTTATAACAAGACATTCAGGACATTTGTACTCTTACGCGTAGTGAGCATGAAAACTATTGTATCTAGTTATTCCAGAGTACTTCTATTAATTTATTTATACCTTCATTATAGTATTCAGCTTTTCGATGGAACCTCTCCAGAATCATAAAAAGCTTCGCTCTTATGTTCTGTGTCCATTTACTCTTTTTCTTGAAATAATCTGGAAAAAAATAAGAAAGCTGATACCAAACAGGATGTACTGAGTACGTCAGCTGATGAGGCAAGCCATATTTTTTATGTCAAACATATTTTTCTTCTGTTGCAGTGTTCATTTTTGCCTAAATTCTCCATTCACATAGAGACAAAATACGAGGACAACAAAGGAAGCAATGACAGTGTAAGTATGATGGCTTTTGCAAAATTAATTTAATCCTTTCGGATAATCATGTTCTGTATCTGGGAGTTGTAGGTCTTTCAATCTGGAAAAAAGGCCTAATCAGGCTTGGGTGTCCTGTTCATTGTCCTGTCCTTGTCAGCCTGCAGAGTAGTTACCTCTAAAGCACCACGAGATGAAAGATTCGTGTCCACAACTTCCCTTCTGCATCTCGCTTTCTACTTGTTGCTTCTCTAAACACAACGTAATTTACATATGTGAATTTAGTCCTGATGAACATTTATGGAGAGTAAAGAAAAGGTGACTCTCTCTTTTTGGTGGAATTGTATTCCACTTTATCTGTTCCACATTATTCTCTCTGAGTAAAGGGGGCTGAATTCAAAGGAGCCGCTGGGAAGAGCAAACAGGAAACTGCACAATGGTCAGAGACAGAGATCGCGGTAAACAACTGCAAGGGAACAACGGGTGGAGTATTGAGGTGATGCTTTTGGCAGTCACTTACCAAAAGTTGCAGAGTTCTCAGAGTTCGAGCTTAGAGATGAAAAGGATAATGAGCTATGCAACATCCTCTCTAGCGGAAGGGTGGGAGTGAGTAGCCGGCAGCTGCTGATGGAGAGATGCTCAGGAGCAGAAGGCAGGAGGTCAGTCAGACTTTGTTGCCCTGACAGGTAGCAAAGCAGAGTCGTACAACTTGGAAGAAAAGAATAACGTTCCATAAAGCCAAGCATGTAAAGATTCAACCCGTGAAGGAATATACAAACATGTTTCTTTATGTTTCCTTTTGGTATGCTTTAAACAGTAATTTGTTGCAGACTTAGGGGAAGAAGTTTCTTATAGGTGTGAAATACAGGTTAAAATGTCTGGGAAATTGATCTGTAATACAGAGACCTAATGAAGGCGTGTTTAAACTCATTCTTGAGAAAGAAGGTGGCAGTAAAGCAGCTTTTAAGGGGTCTGAGACACAGAGCCTTTCCGTTTCCAGGGGTGTCCCTCTTAATAAGGCTGCTGCCTTGTTAAGGTTAAAGTGCTCAGTTCTCCAGATGGGAGGTACTTTTCCCTAACCGCCTTGGGCCTGCGTGTTAATAAGGCTGACAGCTGTTGCACTGCTTATGGCAGAATAATTACACGTAAAAGAACAAGGTATAATTTTGAATAATGTTTTTGGCATACAGGCATTTTCCCAATGGGAACATGACAGAGATCATGTATTAGCCACCAGATACCAACAACTTTCAGTCACTGCTAGTCTAAGTCAGATCCAGATCAGTGAGAGCAGGAAAACAAAAGAAGTGTATTACATTACCAACTATATGAGCATTATGTAATTTATGCACTTTTTAATGTTCACTTCTGCTTTTTGGCAGCACTTTAATTCAGAGCAAGCCCACACCTTTGGTTTCGGGAGGGTGCAGACTAGTTTCCTGGTACATTATAATGTCAGCAGTGAGAAGACGCGTTCTGTACTGATGCCTAATAGAGGAAGAACTGAAGCTACTTAATCAGTGATTTTTCAGTTTTTTCTGCGCGTCAGCTTTGTGGCTGAAATACTACGAATCAAGCCCTGAATAGTACCCAACCAGTGAATTTAAGATGAAAGTAAGACAGAGGTAGGATACTCAAATGACGTAAATCAAAGAATCCCTACTCTGCTTGAATCCAGCTCTTCAAATGTAATTTTCACCAGAGTGCCAGTGGGGTAATACTGTATTCCCTTTCTACTGAGGTACCTGAGTCACAGACTAGGCAAGTATTTACCAAGATTAACAGATTCAATTGACCCTTACTTGAACTGACGAGGAGAAAGAGAAGCTGAATTAGAGGGCTGCATTCCAGCCCTAATTTCCATGACTTTGTAATTCTGAGAGCTATGCTATTCACTAGTGTGAACACAATTAACCAACGAAAGATCTACATTCTTTTGCTGTTGATCTGGTGACATTGATCTGGTGACCCAGATGTGTCTGGGACAGCACTGAGATGCTGGAAGGTTAGTAAAGACGGAGAGAGACCTCATTGAGCCTGTGGAGAGGCTTCTGTTAAACCAGACACCTCAGAACTAGGACTAAGAGGCCTATTTCTCTCTATTACTCAGTGAGTAGGCTTCAGCATCACTTAAGAAAATGTGAAGCGTATTTCTCCTTCATATCAGACAAGTTTAGATGAAATTTCACTACATTTGCCCAGGCAGAAAACAACAGGAAACATAGCATCCATTTCTGTAGATTTCCATAGATACACTGTATTTTTCTTCAATGGAACTATCAACCTTGGCTGATGGAGAAATAATTAATCCAAAAAATACTTCTGTAAATTTTGCAGTTGTAATGCAAAATATACTGAATGAATATTAACATTACAGAAATGAGGGTAATAACGCATGTCTGATTTTAACACAACTATTTCTAGATACATTGTTTGAGACCATACAGGTTTTTTGAAATCTTGAACTCTGATCTATTCTGCATTTCCATGCTATCTAATAAAGCAGACATTGATTGTAAAAAGCAATAATTAGCTATAAGGATACTAAAGCTAATTCCATTGATTAGTGGAAGAAAGCAATATAAATGCTCTTGGGTTCCTGTTGTCATTTAGCAGGCTAGTGTATTATTAGCATTATTTTATTTAACATTGCCTGGTAAAATTCTACCTAATTACTGCAATACATCTTGATGCAAAAGTCCTCCTGATTTTTCTTCCCAATTGTCATGATAGAAGAAAGTAGTGAAAGATAATGATATCTGCTTTGGAACTTGATTTTGCTATGTCTTAGACTTTGTCATCATTTTAACCTATTTTAAATGTGCTTAAAGCACTATTGTTACGATCTGTTAAAGTTTGCACTTGATTTGCACAATTATAAACATTGCCAGAAAGAACAATGGACAATAAAACACCTTATTTCGCTAAAACACTAATGAAGCTGGTGTAGATGACAGCAGTGCAGTGCCATAAATCCATCCAGTTGTGATTTCTAGTGTTACAGCATGGCTGATTTTGCTGGATCGCAGCTGGATGTTCGCATGGCAACTCTCTCCTTAGAAAAACAGAATCAGTGTTGGATGAACACGTTAGTACATCAAATATTGTCACTGCTAACTTGCAGCTTTATAGCTTCATTAGTAGTGTTAGAAACTAGACCAATGAGGCAGGCCACTCAGTGTTCCCTCTTATGGGTCTTTTAAAAAGTAAATTACTTAGTTTAAAGAGAAATTTTATTTTTATTTTACTTTTATTTGAAATTACAAAATGTAAATGACACTGTAGGTGGTGTCTGTAGAGCACATGGAAATATTGCTTCCCTATTGCATCTTCACTGCTTACGTAAGTCAAGGTTGCAGTGGGAACTGCTGGGACGAGGGAGGGAGGCAGGTGCCTACAACAGAGAGCTTCAGCGAACACAGGCGAGCTATAAAAGTGCATGTTAATCACTCAGTGCACACTTTTTTTCCCATAAGAAAAATTAGCGATTAGGGAATTTTAATATAGATACACAAGGTCTATATTTTGAATATTAAAACCATAAGTTAAAGACAAGGGAATTCTTAAGGTTATCTAATTAATGAAATGGTCAGAAATCACAGGCAGGAGTGGTATAAGTTCCTGCTTGTTTATGACTAAATGATTAGTCTGGTTTTCATGAACAGACTTTGTTAACCTCTTTTTTTATTTGGGCAGATATTGTTTTCTTTTAACAGCCTATTGATTGGTCAGTATTTGTGTCCCATAAGGCTAATTTTATTCTGAACGGTGTATTGCTCTCGCTTTTCTCCCATCTGTATTCTTACTATTTCAGTGTACACTACAGACACACATTTTGTTTATTTTTAATTTTAGTGGGGAATGCACCAACTTAGGCTTTCTGTTGATTAGAAAGGATCCACCACATGGCTCTAGTAGGTACTGTAATCAGCACATGATGATCTCACGCACTGCAGCTCCGTGTCTGTTCTTGCACGCCGCAGTCCAGTCCTGCCACGCACTGCAGCTCCGTGTCTGTTCTTGCACGCCACAGTCCAGTCCTCTGCTGAAAATCTAAAAAGCCATCTGTAGCCGAAGGTGGAGCAAAGGTAAAGCGAAGGCAGACACTGTTCAAGCAAATCACTGAATCACAGAGACATTTCAGTTGTCCTGTTTGTTCCAGAAGGATCATTATGTTTGACTGGATTTTGTTGGGGTTGTTTTGGTTTGGTTTTTTAGTCACAGAATTAATTTCCACTGATATTTGGGCAGTGAATTTTTACCATCTGATAGTGTCTGGGGAAAGTAAAAAAGCACAGCTTGTAAAAATAATCCCATAGTTGCCAGTAATGGAAATTCACTGGATGTAAAACTTACCAGTGCCTTGCTCTTTGTAGCATAACATTTTGCTCTGGAAAACTCAATGGCTGGCTCTTGATTATTAAAGAATAACATGCAAGATGTTAAAATAGCATAGTCTTTCTTTTTGTTAAAGGGCCATGATATTTACTAGCAAGAATAGCATTATTCTTAAAAGTAATGAAGGTGTGGAGTAAACATTTTGAGGTAGAGTTATATTTCAAGATGACAAAGTATGGGTGTCCCTGGGCACGTTTTTGTAAGTGTATGGCACAGTAATGCTCATAAAGACATCAGAGCTACAGCCCTAATTCTTTGTCAATCAAGAGAAAAATATATTATCAATGTGTTTCTTGCCTTTCGAGGATAATATAGAGTTGAAAATGCATGTCTCAGAATGACCATTTGCCAAATGAAGACAAGAGGTAGTTCTGGTCATTCATATAGTTATAAATTAACACCAGCATCATTTGACACATTAATAGCTTGAGCACGCTAAAACCAGCCAGCTGATAGCAGACCGTGTTTGACAGGCAGCCTACGTAAATTGCAATGCCCCCGTTTAAGGTTAGAAAATCCCTTCCTGACAGTGAGCTCTAATTCCGCAGCCCTACAAGTGACCGAGTATGCAGTACTGGGTCATTCATCGTGCTTCCTCCTTAGTGTGTATTTCTGAAGTGTTG